CCGAAACAACCAGCTGACAGGATCCGGCGAATCACGATGGCTCAAGTGCGGCCGAGGAAAAGGCATGCTGTTTTGCATAGGGACCACTGTCGCTTAGAGCGACACTAGGGTTTAGGGTTTAGTGAATCACCGCAAGGGATTTCGGTTTCCGATTGCAAGAGATAAGCATGCTTCTAGGCTAGGGTTTAGGGTTTAGGGTGTAGGGTTTAGGGTTTAGGGTTTAGGGTTTAGGGACTTCTAGGCTTCAATGTCGCTGTCGGTGGCCTACGGCTCTTGGGCTTCGAGAAGCAACGCAAGGAGCAAGCTAGTCGAGCAACCGTGTTAAAAGACATCTTCCGCGATACTGCTTGCACATGCAATACTGTCGCCTGATGTCAGTTGAGTACTCACTGGCAAGAGCTCATCCCTGCCACTCAGAGTAATCAGGCCAGTGCGCCTGCTGGTGCAAAGGTCAATACTTCCCGCATGCTTCAAAAAAAGTTCCGAACATAGGGCGCCAAACCCTAAACCCTTCTCCCTGAACCTAAACCCGAAACCCGAAACCCAAAACCCAAAACCCTAAATCCTACACCAACACCACTGACATCGCATGCGGCATGTGAACACTCCTGTCCTGTGAAGAGCGCAGACGACACTCCGAAACTGAACATTTCGAAACGTCGTTGGCTAAAAGGAGTGACTTGTTTCCCTAGGGATCAAATAGCCCAACAGCCTTATATAGTATGGTCTTTGGGCCCAAAAGCCTTGTCCTTAGATCCCTAGGGTTTCCTGATCTTTACGTCTGAAATGCCTCTTCTGCCTCTGAGCACGGCTAAAGCAATATGATTCTGTCATCAACAACTCTTCGTCTGGCTGCCTAAAACCTAAACCCTAAACCCTAAAACCCTAAAGCCCTAAACCCCTAAAACTCTGAAACCCTGAAGCCCTAAACCCCTAAACCCTAAAACCCTAAACCCTAAAACTCCTAAAACTCTTCGTCTGGCTGCCTCGCTCTTGATGACCAGCTCGATCTCTGCCAATTCCAGCCGGTGCCCACGTACTTTGACCTGCCGATGGTGCCGGTGCCAAGATAAGCCCAGACTTCGGGTTTAGGGGTTAGGGGGTTTCGGGTTTAGNNCGGGTTCAGGGTTTAGGGTTTAAGACCCTGCCCAAAACCTACACCGCTATATCATTTGTTGAACGCCTGTTTCCGAACTGAAGCTCAGAATCCCGAGTTCCAGTGTTTCCCAGTTTGAGGATGAGGATTTAGGGCACGTATCAACCGTGAACTCGGAATTGTCGCCGCTTTGTAGGTGTAATGTAGGGGCCTTGATAACTAG